TCCAACCCATTTTTCTCGAACAATCAAAGTTGAGCAGAAGAAAAAATAGCTTTGTCAAAACACAAAATCACTCGAACAAAATACTAGTAGGTTTACTCTAAATTCTCCACTTACTAATTATGTTTGAATAAATAATTGCCCAACAAGTCCAAAACCACGAACATAAATAAACTCATCAACCAATTAATCTCTATCAAACAATCCCTAAAACGAACATACCTTCAAGAAAAAAATTAAGCAGATAAATCAATATAAAAAAAAAGCAAAATAGTATCGAAATGATTAAACCCTAAACTGATATCACAAAATTCAGCAGAAGATAAAATACTTCAAAACTTAACGCAAGTCAAATTTCTCAAAGGTGGGGAGATTGCAAATTGCAGCACAAAGATCCCCGCTTGTAGTAGAGAATAAACCCAAAATGAAACTCCCTCGCATAGGAGAAGAATAGAGACTGAGAGGGTTGGAATACTTTTCTTGATAATCTACTTCATCGATCTAACCGAAATGAAATTCACTCGCAGAAGAGTATTAGACGGATCGCAACAGAGAGAAGAGAAACACCTCACAGGCTTAATAGAGAAGATTCTGGAGGCCTCACTTATTGCAGAGAGAAGAATTTGAGGCAGAACTCTAGCAGAACGAGATATAGGCTCTGATTATAGTTGTGTAAGGTTGTAATCGATCCGAGTTGAGCCGATTATGCAGTAAATTGGATTTGGCTTGGTACAATTATAAATTATTCATGTTCGGCTTGAGCTTGTGTCGAGCTTTCACATGTTGTTCAAGTTTGACATGTTTAAATTTTTCAATACTTGAATTTAATTTGTTTATGAAAAATGAACGAGTATTTAAATGAGTTAAAAATTCAAATGAGTATTTTGATTTTCATGTAAAATTTTCAATAAATAATTTTACAAATCTAAATAAATGAATAATTTAATAAATCAGATACGAAAATGAACTAACCCTCATGTTTTCATCTATTGTCTATAATATATATTTTCTCGCAGTGATGCATTCTAAGATATAGAAGCAACATGAAAACAAGAGCAAAAAAAAGTCGGAGGAACTTGTACTATTAAATTACTCTTAATGCAAAATCTTTCATCAATTGATATAATGATATATTAATATTAAATATATAATTAAATAAATTATAGCTAATCAAATTTTATTTAAAAAATATATCATATATAATACGAGCTATAATCGAGATTAATATTAAATATTTAACATGTTATTTTTCGAACAATAAACGAGTTTGTTCATGAAATGAACAAGTTTGACTATGATCATGTTTAGTTCGTTTAACCTTTGAGCTTTTAAAAATGTTCAAGCTTATTTATTTACTAATTTGAACAAACATGATATAGTATTAATCGAGTTGAGTTCTATTTGTTCATTGAGTGCATTATTCATTTACAATCCCAAGACTGTCTCAAAAAAATTTCATTACGCTGCTACTCGCTTTTATAGTTTAGTCCCTTGAATTAGCCCTCAATTTATTCTAAATTCAAAGAAATTCGCATAATAGAATCAAATTTATGGTTGTATGACATCCACCGCCTCCCGAGCGAGAATTGAGAAACAATGACCTTAATTTATCTGTGAGAAAAAAAATAATTTAATAACGTTTTAAAAACAATTTATGTTTCCATTGATATAAATATATTAATTTTATTTAAAGATTAATATAATAAACACTAAATTAAAATTTTTATATTTCAAAGATTATGTAGAGAAATTTAAAAGTTTAATTTTAATTTTTAATTATAAAATAATCTATATCATTTATTTTATAATTATATTTTTTTAATTTCATACACAAACATATCTTATATTATTATGTTACTTTTAATTTTATTTTAGATAAATTTTAAGTAAAAATGAATCCAAAAATCTAATTAAATCATACTATTAATAATTATTTTTAATATGATTATCATTTAAGCTTTACGAAAGTTGTACATAAAAAGTTATTAAATAATATTATCAAATTAAATAATAAAAATGTTAAGATTAATTTAATTAATTTATTTTAGAATTATTAATTATTAATTCAATCAAATTTAATATAAATGATCTTTAAAATGAGCTTTATTCGTGCTTTTTCACGGGTATTAAATTAACTTATGAGCACTAATTTGATCTTTAATCGAGCTTCTTGACAAGCCTTTCGAGCTTCAATCGAGTATGTTTGCGAGCTTTTAATAATACTGCCCATGAATATAATGAGTTGAAGGACTTTTCATGCTTGTTCATTTGACTATCGAGTATTTATAAAACTGTTCAATCTTGTTTGTTACCTAATCAAATAAATATAAATGAGCTCTTATCAAGCTGAACTATGAGTAGCTTGTCGGACGCTCGGTTTGTTTGTTGCCCTAGTCTTATCTTTTGCATTATAAATGAAGCTCATATCTAGCCTTTTTTTTTGTTGCATAGACCATTTTTAAAACATAAACTAGGGTTTATTAATTATTGTAACAGTGAAGTAAAATATGTCACTTAAAACAATCTTTCTCACTTCTTTACGTTCATGTTTCTTGATCCTAACATAATTTCATTGTGTAGAGGTGAATATCCCCAAAAGCTTGTGTTACTTCTAGGATGCCTTGTAAAGCTAAGTATGTTATAGCAATTCTATCAGCTGCAGGGATGATGAGTTATTTCTTAGAGAACTTCATCGAAATTAATATTCAATTATGACTGTAAATAATTTGCTGATCTTCTTTCTTTTACTCAAAACATTCCTATGTTAAGATAGCTCTTTTAAGTTTTCCAAGGATTGACTCAATGAAATGTGTGGCACATGGAGTTCAATATATGTTTTTTCTTTTTCATCAATTTTTTTCTTAGTTTTATAAGCACGTGTAATGTTAGTAACAATTTGGACCATTAGATGTTCTCGAATCTTCTCTATAACTCTATCAAGTGTTTTGAAATTGTATTCTATAACCTTCATTTGATTTTATGCTTCAATAAACTTTAAAAGATAGTGCCATAGGAATTATTTATAAAAATATTGATTAAATTTCTATTTTTAATATTCGATACCATCTTACATGATTATGACTTAATTTTGGGACCAATCTGTCTTGATTTTCTCTAAGACCTTTTCATTGTTATTCAGTTTCTTCATCAATATATGGAATGAGATTTAAGGCCCCAACTAGTTTAATAGACACCCATAGAACAAATCACGTTGATATAAGATGGGAATGTTCTCACATTAAATACTGCATTATCAAAGAAGCTTTAATGTCCATACGAACACACTTGTGAGTCTCTCTTGCATTTTGTGCAAATATTCGATGGGCTTTCTAGCATCATCATTCTTGTCATTTTTTACATTCATCAAATATTGATTTATAGGCTCCATTGCACCTCTGTTGGACATTTGTATTAAAGCAAAAGAAGAATCTTAAAATGCTTTGACATGGATCCTTTATTCATATAACTATGATTTTTTTTTTACTTCAGGTATTTTGGTACCTGGTACAACATTCTTATGAAAACTATAAAAATATTTTTTCATTTTTTTCACCACTTTTAATCAGTTTTTCATCACAGCCTTTGAAATAAATGAAAGTCTTCTTATTCTTTTTAATTTGCACTTGACTTTATACTTTCATGCTAGATCTTTTCCATTAAACTTTTTTAAGGATCTCTAACCATTTAAAAATAACCCTAAATTGAAAAACTCATTCAGTTTAGAGAAAATCACATTCAAAGTAGAGAAGAGGAAATATAGATAATCAAATAAAACATAAACAATACATAATGAAAGAAAAAAAATGCATAAACACGCGTACACACAAAAAGAGAAGTGGCAATGGAGGAATGACAGTAACAGTGATGATGTAGCGGAATGGAGAAGGGTTACTTCATCATGAGTCTGCAAGTCATGATGCTGTACTGTTCTTCATGTATTCTTAATTTGGTTTAGGCATAAACAAGGAAGAAAATAACAAATTTTTTGTTTTATTTGTTTATAAATTAAAATTTTAAAAGAATCTAGGCTCCAATTTCTTATGCTTTTGATGCCTAAAAAATGCACTTAGGTGGGCCTCACCCCCATTGAGGCTTATGCCTCTTCTGGCAAATGTGAGGCATAAGCCTCATTAATTTTGAGAGGCATAAGCCTCATTGATTTTTTCTCAAAATTATGCTTAGCGCCTCATTGATTGGCTCTCCTTCATTACTCTCTTTCTCGTTGTTTGAGATAATGAAAAAAGAAAGGTTCATAAGGGCATCATTTATATCCTTACCATTTTTTTTTCTTTTATTGAAGCTATTTAAGTGGACATTTCTTGATGTATTTTGGTGTTTGTATTTTATTAGGTTGGATGCTTGAAATGGATTGATGTTAACCGTGCATACATTATTAAACAGAGTAATGTGTCGCCCTTCTATTAGAATTTAGAAATTTGCCATCTTGATTTACTTAAGCCATTTTTGTTGGGTGGCTATTTTCTTAACTTGGCCTAGATATTAACTTGGCCTAGATATTCGTAAGCCAACTGGTTAAAAGTTTAATTTTTGTCCTTTATTGGAGCTGTTTAGTGCTGAATCACATCACAGTAGACTTCTTAGTATGGCTTAAAAATTATAAACCTAGTTCAGCTAAAGTAATTTTCAGAAATACAATTTAATTGGTTGAGGTAGGATTGATGGTAAAGGCATATGATTTAAAGGCGTAGAGCAAAAGCTAACTTGGCTAGCAGTTACAAAGAATGGCTTCCAAAATAAGAGTTAAAACACTCACAAATAAAGAATGAACGGAGAAAAAGGCTTCACAATGCCGACCCTCAAGTTGTTGTGATGAGGTTAAAGATTCTGTTCTTTTAATTTTTAAATTATAGATGTTGCAATTTGTGGCTCATTTTATGTCCTTTCATAGTTTTTGATCAATTTTCTTCAGATATATGACATGGATCATCAGGTCATGCTGCTTGATATCATTATTCTGATTTGTAGTACATGTTCACTTTCAGGTGCCAAGTAAAGAGCAAGTTGATGCCCTATCTAAGGAGTTGCATATCCGCTCTACTGTTCCAGGTTTTCAAATTTAATCATTTTTTGTTCATTTTATTGTGTCTATTTACTGAATTTCTAGACATCAGTTCAGGATTGAACATGTATTTATGTTTTGGTGCAACTAATCATGGTCTGAGGGAGATATAAGTATATATGTAAATAGACATTGTCAATGGTCTGGCTTGCTTGGTCAAGACATTTTACTGATGAAAAATTGTATTATAAGGAAAACATAGTATATTTGTGGGGAAGCAGTCGAAGTATTGTTTATCGTAGTGCATATCTGTTTCACCATCCATGCGATTTTATTATTGGTTTGTGTTTAAGGAGAGAGGTTCGAAAGCTGAAGAAACCATGTGTCTCATTTCTCTAATTTTTCAATGTTTGAACTCTTGATTTTAGGTGAAAAAGTGGAAATAATACTATGTTACTTTGTTGTAAATAAGAATAAATTAAGGATAACCACCTTTTCTTTTTTTCTAGATTTTGTTGATGGAGCATGAATACATGCATAGGTGCTCAAGGGTATAATTGTAATATTCTTTTATTTTTCCTTTTTTGCAGATCATGTTTACAAAGCCATTGATGCCCTCCCACTCTCTGCTCATCCAATGACTCAATTTACAACTGGTGTTATGGCTCTTCAGGTTGGGCACCTTTTCAGAAGCAGATATTGCAACTTGTATCGTACCTGTGGTATTCATTTTCCTGAAGCATTTGCTTGTTCATTTCAGGTTCAGAGTCAATTCCAGAAGGCATATGAAAATGGAATTTCTAAAGCAAAGTGAGACTTTTTTCTTTATTTGTTAACTGCTGATTGATGGCGATATTTTGATGTAGCAGCTGAGTTGCTTTGCAGGTTTTGGGAGCCTACGTACGAAGATTCTCTGAATTTAATTGCTCAGCTTCCTGTTGTGGCATCTTATATATATCGGAGGTAATTTTGCAAGTTAGGGAAGGAATAATTCTGTCGGTTTAATTTAAAATTTACGATCTTTCAAGGTTCATCAATACTGAAATGCATGCTACATGAAACCTTATTCCAGATTTCTTGTTAAGCATGAAACTGATTTTGTTGTGAATAGAATGTGTGCTTATGGATACCTTTTCTTGATATCATTTGTTGCTTATTTATTGTATCTTGAAGGGTATATAAAAATGGGCTAGCCATATCTGCTGACAATTCTCTGGATTATGGTGCAAATTTCTCTCGCATGCTTGGATTTGATGATCCAAAAATGCAGGAGTTGATGAGGCTTTATGTCACTATCCACAGGTTGGTAACAGAACATGTTTTTTTTTTTACAAAAATTTTGTGTGTGCAATTTTACAATTTATTAAACGTTCATTTTGTTGAAATGACCTTGCCAAAGATTTAATTTCAAATATTTTTTTTACAGTGATCATGAAGGGGGAAATGTGAGTGCTCACACTGCTCACCTGGTAAGTGCTTTGCAGTTTTTAGTTTTTGATGGCAATTATTCGTATCATAATTTGAAAAGAGTGCCATAAACTGTCAAGGATAAAGCTTGCATTAGCAGGATCATATAAATTAGTGCCTTTTGTTTAATCACGTAGCATATGAATGTGTTTGGATAATAGTTTGTTTTGCCAATTCACTTGTCCATTACTAACATGGATAACTTTGTGCGTCATTCTCTGTGCTGAAAATGTAAAAGAAAACCTTTATACTCAATGTTCTACTTTATTTAGGTTGCAAGTGCACTTTCTGATCCTTACCTTTCCTTCGGAGCTGCACTCAATGGGCTCGCTGGACCTCTTCATGGATTGGCTAATCAGGTAGTTATGTTTTCTGCTGTGAAACCTATGGTGTAATGTTTTGTAGATTTTTGGTTTTTTTTTTTTTTTTTTTTTTTTTTTTTCTCATGGATTTGCAGTAATTAAATTTCTTTCTTTCTGCCCATAAATAGATACTCTGGGTAATGTGATCATTATATGGCAGGGATCTTGATATTAAAGCTTTCTAGGTGAAATATATGGCCATTTAATCACTACTAATTTCGCCAAATAATTTGAGATGCATATTTTGTGATATTTAGAGAAATTTTCTTGAAACAAAAATTATTTCTAACCTCAAGTGAAACATTTCACACTAGAACACATAATTTAGGGATGGCACAAAGTTGGTTTATAGAAACGTTTGTGCTCGGAATGTTTTTCTGGCTGTTTTTTCAAATTCTTTTGGAAAACTTTCAACCATAGATCTTTACTTTAATCATCAATTACTATACTCCCAACCATTAAATGTTTGCTGTTAGAAACAATTTTCTGTTAAACTATATGGAATTCATATTTAGTGATATAAACAAAATTTTCCTAATACAAAAATTATGTCCGAACTTATTGAGACCCGTTTCACTGGCACACATTAACTGGAGAAAAGTGTGATACTCATGATTTAATTATTGTTGCATATTTTTTTTTTCCTTTGGGTTGATCACCTCTTCTGTGCTTCAATTGTCAGGAAGTACTTCTGTGGATCAAATCTGTTGTTGAAGAGTGTGGTGAAAACATAACAACTGAGCAGTTGAAGGAGTACGTTTGGAAAACATTAAAAAGTGGAAAGGTCAGGCATTTTACTGTTCGGTATAACACTATGACTTGACTTTGTGCTTGCCATGTATTTTTACTTCTACTGAAGTATTTGCAACTGGTGGCATGCAATGAAAACCATACTTGCACACTAAAATTTGATGATTGCGTTAAGGCCTCTAAAAATAGTATGAGTCTACAAGATTTTTTATAATCTTTTTGGATTAAAACATTTGTTCTTCAAATATAAAGGAAGGATATTGATAAATTATTTTAAGTAATTGTATAAATTAAATATTTTATTTTGCTATCTTAATATAATCTCATTTTTTGGCGTGATCTATCCATGGTGTGTCTAGGCTATGGTTTGGATTGCTTTAAATTATAATGGATGTTGGTTGAAAGAATCATTAAAGTGGATTTATTTTGAAAAGACATCTGGTTGTAGATTTGATCGTCATTTTTGAACTTTACCTTACAATCAAATGCTCAAAGGGTCCACTACTTGTCTTGTCATGTATGATCTCCTGGTGGCTACCCATTGCCTTGAATATGTGGACATAATATTCACGTGTGGTCTAGGAAGTATGTTTCACCTTTATAATGACACCGATTTACAGTACTTAGACGGTGTGTGGTGATCAGGAGTGGGGTCAAGTGTTGTAGGACAAAAAGGAGGGTGAAATGAAGATGAAGGCTAAGAAATTCAGTTGCTTGGCAGTTGAATATGAAGACTACATGTCAGCTACAAGTAGTGGGAGGGATGTCTGCGTCATTCTCGAGGAGAGGAAAGGGTTTTCATTTTTCATTGGAATCTCTTTTATTCTCGTAATATGATGACAAATGAGGAACATTGGGAGTAGCAAAAAATGTTATAGTATCCAACCAAGTCAATTTTATATACATTATCATTGTCTTCTTAGCAACCCTGAATGGGCAACTGACTTTAGGCTTCCTCTTTTTCTAACAACCTTGAGGAAATCTCTATTTTTAGCTTAATGCACACTAAATGACCTTTGAAAATAGTAGCATTGATGAACTTCTTAGTCTACTTCAGATAGTTGGCATTCGTTAGGGTAAATTTCTTCGTCTGCTCATGTTGGGTTAGAATCTCTCTATATCTAGCTTTTGCATCAGTAATATGCTCAATACTCGAAAATAACAACACTAACGTTGACGGTGTGAGAGGATTTAACCCGTATACAATATCAACCGAACTATGGTTTTTTGACTGACTAGCATACCAATTATAAGCAAACTCGACTTGTGGAAGAATTAAGTCTCGATCTTTAATGTTTTTTTCTAAAAAACATCTAATAGGATACTCCAAACTCTGATTTAACACTTTTGTTTGCCCATTTGTTTGGTGGTGCCTTGTTGAATTAAACTGTTTCTTGGGACCTAGCTTGCCCCTTAAAGTCCTCCAAAAATGTCTAAAAATTTTCATATTCTGGTTAGAAATGATGGTCCAGGGTACGTCGTAAATATGCACATCACATGGAAATATAAATATGCAATATGTGTAACATCCATTGTCTTCGACAGAGTAAAAAATGTGTCGCCTTGAAAAAGTGATTAAGAACCACCATAACACACAGTGATGTCCATGCTCACATCAAGGCACAGTGACTTTGGTACAGGAAGGAGGCTCTTGGGTCTTGGCTAATTAATAGATCTTGTACTATCAAACATACCTCTTCACATAAGTTCTCTTTTACTATGGAAAGATACTTGTGCTTATCAAAATGTCTGGCAATCCCTCTATTGTGGTGTTATTGCAAAATACTCTCTTACTGAACTCTTAGGATTGCATAGTCTATTCAGGTAGAATAAGTTGTTTATTTTCTGGAACTGCTCATACAATCTATCTTGATATCAAACCCTAATTTCCTGAAAATCTTAATTAGTGATATACAAAGCTTTCAACATTTCAAATCCAATGATTTTGTTGTATAGTGGTAAACAACAAAAGTGATTATTGAAGACGCCAATTACTTTATTCTGCTTTTTCAGTGGAATGAAGATAAGAACTCTCGAATGGCATGTTTACTTAAGGTTGAACATTCGGTCACGTTGGATAAATCGTTTTTTGAATATAATAAACCAATTACAATCGAAATCCAAAATTCAAAAAATGAAACCAATAAAAATATTGATAAAATTGAAGCAATAGTACCAATAAAATTCAGTTTAAATAGCTCGGTTATGAACAAAATAAAACTCTATTAGTTGGAATTAAGTTATAAACAAACATATTACATGTTTTACATGTATAATATCAATTTAATTTTATGAAACCTCCATTTAATTTTGAATTTTTTATTTTCTTAGTTTGTTAAATTAAATTAAAATTACATCCGAAATGAAAATCTAAAACCAAATATTAGGGTTTTGAAATCCAAAAACCAAAATGCATTTTTGAAACTGAACCGAATCAACCAAATATTTGTTTTGATCCGATTTTGATTAATTAATGCACGTGATATGTCTACGCATTAGCTTACTCTGATTAACCTCAAGGCTTCATGATAAGTGTAAAGGATGAACTCATTTGCAAGTAAATTTTTTACTACAATAGTTAAAAGCTGTCATAATGACAATTTTTTTTTGTTATAGGTAGAGTATTTTCTCTAGAAATAATTTATGTTCACTAAATGATGCAATTGAGTTTTGGCTCAACACAATTCAAATCCCTACATTAGAAGTGCAATTCAAATTTTCATATTGAAGACATCACACTCAGCGTTAGACACCTTATTAAAATTTGAAAGAGTTAGGGCTAAGGTTTGAGTAATTTGTTTCTTCAAAACTTCAATGTTGCCCTGCACATTATTTAACAAAGTGAATTTTACCGACATAAGAAGCTCCATCAAGTGAATTTAATAAACATAAGAAGCTCCATCAAGGGTGTCGCTATCGAGTTAAAATTTCTAGCAAATCTTTTGTAAAAAGATGTCAGCACATGAAATTGGTGTATCTAAGAAAACGGTTGTGGGTTGGGCTAGTCCAATATAGTCTTGACCTTCATTGGTTTCATTTCAATACTGGTAGTTGAAACCCTTACTTAAAATTGTGCAATATGAAGTGCATCTTGAGGCTCACCTCAATACTTTTTTACAAAAAATCGCAGCAACACTTACGCCTCATTATTCCAGGGTGAGGGGTAAGGCAAGTGTCATTGTCCCAAGGTGAGACACTTGTCACCCAGTTGAGGCGCGACTCACCTAAAAAAACATCTTTAAGTGTTTTTGATGGCCTGCACTCATTTTTAACAAAATTAAAAATAATATCCATATGTCTCACATATTAGCTCTCAAATCACTAAATAATAAGAATTCAAAGAAAAAATAAATCCAAAAAGTTTTATGTTGTTAAAGTTCTAACCATCAACTTAGTTATTATTTTAATTAATATTTTTTTTGCTGATAATTTGTTATTAAAGAATAGAAGATAATTGTGACTAAAGATAAAATGAAATGAAAGGATATAGGTACAACTAAAGATAAGACGCTAGACAAACAATTCGTTATGTCGATGATTCTAATGAAAATTATCTGAGTGCTTATAGTATTAGGGACTTTTAATTTTAGAAATTCAAATATTGATGAATCGTTATATTATTATTTAGGCAGGGGTTAGTATGAGTGAGAGAGAAAAACTTATGTTAAACTTCTTTTAATTGTTATGGTTTAAAGTTCTTAGTATTTTATTTTAATAGCTTAGCTTTGATAAATTTAACGTTTATTTGACTTATATTATCTCATAATTTGATACTTCTAATTTTTAACAATTTATTACTTTATACTTATTTAGAATATTATTAATACTGGAGTCAACCCAAACCACAACCAAACGACACAATACTTATTGCTGACTTTAAATGGTTACAAGATGACAATATAAGAAACAAAAAAATAACGGTAATAAGTGCAGAAATCAAGACTTAAAGAAATAATAGAAGGACACGAATAGTCCTCTCTCGTGGATCACAACAGTTCTGGGTGGAGGGTGGAACGACTGGAGGACGGACTGTCAGCTAGTTGCTTTGAGACAAGTGTTGGAAGACTAGCAAGGTCAAACAGTGAGTGGGAAGCGTAGGAAATGACTCGCGAGCCTACTAGCAAGATCTCGGAGAGTGGATGTTCGGCACTAAGGGGACTGAAAGGCGTGGTATTGATGTTGAATGATGTCCAGGAAGTCTGCGGTGCGCTTGGAGGGGAAGCTGGAGCGGATGGAGGCGCAGAGGAGGGGGAGAGGGGTTGGAGGTCTGACAGCTGCGGGAAAGTCTGGCGCAGGGTTTGCAGCCTGGTGGAGGCGTGCGAGGCTCAGGCTGGCCAACAAGGCTTGCTGGAGGTCGGTTGGGCCTGAGAGATGCTGACCAGAGGTGCGGGGGCTATGGAAGGCAGAGGCGCTGCCCGACAATTTACTAGAGATAGTGAGGGAGTGCGGGAGATAGTCTTCACCTTGGGAGAAGGTACAACTTGTGCACCGCTCGTAGTTGGATACATCCCTTGAAAGGGAGACGCCATGAAGGCTCAACTAAAAACAGAAAAAAATGAAAACTGATTAGACCCGGGCAAGATATAAATAGGGGAAGACTAGCAGCTAGCAAAGGCAAGATCTATGAATGGAAGGGGATGAAAATGGAAGGGATTGAAGTGGCGTGAAGTACGATGGCAATGACTAGAAGAGGAGGGCAGAAGAATAGAGCACGGCTGAAAAAGGAGAGGCAGAACAAATCGGGCACGGGAGGAGGAGAGGAGGAACGTCCGCCTTAAGTCAAATTGGATCGATCCGGTCGAGCAGGAAGGCTGGACCAGGTTCTGGCCTTGCCTGGCCGATGGTTTGTAAACAGCCTCGTTTCAATTATTATATTATTTTTTAATGTTTTAATAAATTAGAACAGTAATATGTTATTTTTACATCATAATTTTTATAATATTTATTAATTTACTCAATTTTTTAAATTTGAGGCTTATGTTTCAAAATGGTTTGAGACTTGTGTCACGTCTCACAAATTATAAAAAATGCCCGAGTAACCAATTACGCCATCTTAAAGCTAGGCAGAAACAATATACCCCAGGAAGCACGTTTGCTGTGTAAGAAAGTGATGCTTCTTCCTTGAGCCATACAACTGCTTTGCCTGTAGAACTCCAAAAATCTGTTGGAGGTGCTATCAATGCTCCTCCTTTGAACAGTTGTACATCAGGATGTTGTCAACGTACACAACCATCAATTTTTACACTCAGAAAATCTAGTTCATTAGCCGCATGCATTAAAATTCAATCTTGTTCACTTATAGTGATTCCAAAATCTCAAACTGAAGCTCAATTTTAATTTAATTGAATTGATTACCTTGTTCCATGACCGAACGATAACCCTTATCAAACCATTACAAAACATAATTAACATAAATCTTAAGCTCCTTCACCTTAGCTTAACCACATGTGATTTCACTGAAATTAAAATTTATTTGACAAAACATAATTATGTTGTGAATGCAGGTTTATTTAGAAATGAATATCTTTTGTAACATTTACTTTATGGATTCTCATTCTAGCGCCAATTAATTTGGTGCATTGAATCAGACACTACTATGTAGCATAGTAGTCTGGTTAATGGATGGTGACACTTCACTCGTGAGCTAAAAACAGTCCTTTTTGCATCCGCTGGTTATATTTGGGTGATTTGGTTCAAGCTTAATGGATTTTTGCCTGCCATACTCTGCACACCATTTCTCCAGTTGTTGGTTCTCTCTTAATAATTGCCGTTGTACCAATCTGCCAGTTTTTTCCACTGTTGGCCGCTAAAGTACTGTAACATAATCCAGTCTTGGTTTCAAACTTACATTTTTTGTTACAGTTTTCTATTGAATTATTGTAGTGAGAGTGATGCTTTTTCTTTTGGGATAACAATTTCAATGTGTGCCGCTGAAATCTATTTGTCTAGGGAATATTTTTGATTCATTAATTGGCGTTTAGCCAACCCATCATTAATTGACTGGAGTAGAGATTTAAGCTAAACCTACACAACCCCTTCCATCATATACCAGTACCCTCCAAAGGATGATGAGTGATGAAAATACCAATACCCTCCAAAGGATGATCAGTGATGAAAATACCAATACCCTCCAAAGGATGACGAATGATGAAAAACTCTATTTTTTAACTACATTTTTCAAATTCTTTCTCTTAAATTTCAATTTCTGCTCAGCTGCCCCTTGCCTTCCTGCTCCAGTTCTTTAAACTGAGCTACTGATGCTAGTATTACTTCCTCATCTTCAGTCCTTCATCTCTTTCTCTTTCCCTTTCATCTCTTCTTTTCTTCCCTCTCCGCCTCCTCTTAAAAAAAAATTGAGGTCTTCTTCCTCTTCTCTCTATTTGATTTAAATCTCTATTTAATGCTCAATTTTCGGTTTCGTCTGCATCTCTTGTTGAGTTGTATTAATTGAAGTATAATGCAATGTTCTTGATAACTCTACCACACATCTGAATCATTCTCAAACTATTTGTGTAGGTTGTTCCTGGATACGGTCATGGAGTACTGCGCAAAACAGATCCAAGATATACGTGTCAAAGGGAGTTTGCATTGAAACATTTACCTGATGATCCACTCTTTCAGCTGGTTTATTTCCTTAACCATCTTTTATTTCATGCACCCAAGAACTAGATAACATTATCAAGTTTTGTAATTTTTCTTTTAAGAATCTTGAGCCTTGTGTGATTCTTGTTTTTGCAGGTCTCTAAGTTATATGAAGTTGTTCCTTCCATACTCACTGAGCTTGGAAAGGTAATTATGACATTTTATGTTGATGGATCTAATTTTCAGAGTATGTAGTTGTGATGTAACATACTCGATGTGATGCATCTTCTCTTTCCTCCTATAAAGTTCTAATTTTGGTTTCTTTCAAAGTTCTGGAATCTCATGGTATGTTTTTTCTTTTGAACTTTCTTATATTGAGTGGGTAATTAAGAATCTCCACATGATATAAATTCTTTAAATTTAAGTGTTGAGCTTTGACATCTGTTGCCAAATTGCTAGATCCATTAATTATACCTACTAATATTAATTGTGTTGCCAGATATGTGTAAAAGAAATCCGGTGCTTGGGGAGAGAGTTTAACTAGAATTTGCTTATTTAAAAATTATATTAGACCCTAAATTATAAATTTTACACTGTAAACCCTAGAACTTAAATTCTGAATTAAACCCTAAACCGTAACAACTCTAAACTCTAAGCCTTGAACCCAAAAAACCCTATATCCTAAACCATAAACCCTAAAATCCCTAAAATCCGAATTTTAGATCCTAAATCTCAAAACCCCAAACCCTGAGCCCTAAAAAGCTAAACCTTAAATTCTAAATCTTAAAAAACTATAAATCCTAAAATAAAATTATAAACCTTAAATTCTAAACCCTAAATTTAAAAAAATTAAACCCTAGATCCTAAAGACCCTAAGCCCCTTAAACCCTAAAGAAAATAAAACCTAAATCCTAAATCTTAAACCTAAACCCTAATAACTCGAAACCTTAAAAAATTAAACCCTAAACTATAAACTCTAAATTTTAAACCCTAAACAAATAAACCTTAAACACTAAACCCTAAACTTTAAAAATCCTAAATTCTACACCCAAAACTAAAACTCTACACCCCTAAACCCTAAAAATCTTAAACTTTAAGCTCTAAATTTTTAATCCTAAAAAACCATAAACCCTAAACTCTACCCTACACCATAAATCTAGGATCCCAAAGCACGATAACTTAAATCCCAAACTAAAACCGTAAGCCATAAACTCTAAAATCCTGAACCCTGAAAACCTTAAAATCCCAAAAGCCCTAAATCCTAAATCTTAAATCTTGAATCCTAACCCTAAACCTTAAAGGCATGAATTAATTCATATTTAAACTCCAAACCTAAACCCTTGTCCCTAAATCTGAACAGTCCTAAACCCTTAAGGTTTTAATAATAAACACTAATCTCTAAATCCTAAGCCTTAAACCCTAAACACTAAATCCTAAACCATAAAACCTAAATAATAAATCCAAAATTTCTAAATATGATATCCTAAAATTTAAATCTTAAAACTCTGAAACACTGTAGTCCTCCTAAATACTAAAATATAAATTGTAAAACCTAAATAATAAATCCAAAATTCATAAACAGTGCAACTTAAACCCTAAAATATAATCCTTAACCTCTGAAATACTACAATCCTAAATACTAAATCCTAAAATCTTAAACCCTAAGATTCTAAACTCTAAAAACTCTAAACCTTAAAACCTAAAAACCGTAAATTATAAATCCTAAATCCTTAAAACCCTAAACGTTTCAAATTTAAACCCTAAACCCTAAAAAATAAAAAATCTTAAATATTAAAAAAGTTAAACCCTAAATCCTATAATCCCAATATCTAAAACTAAAGCCCTAAAATCTTAAACCTTAATTTCTAAACCATAAACTCTAAACCTTAAAAATCTTAAAACCTAAACCTTAAACCCTGAAAAACTTAAGCCCTAAACAATAAACATAAACTCTAAAAAACTAAGCCCTATACCCTAAAGCTAAACCTTAAAAATCATAAATCCTAAACCCAAACTTTCTAAATTGCAAACTTAAGATATTAAATCGTAAATCCTAAATTTTAAAAAGTTCTAATATATAAAAAATCCTCTATTCTAAACCCTAAACTCTGAATCATAAATCATAAACCCAAAGCCCCAAAACCCTTAAGCCGAAAAACTAAAACCCCAAAACTCTAAATCTTAACCCTTAAACATTGAAACATAAAACCCTAAACCCTAAATCATAAAAGTGAAGATCCTAAATCCTTAAACCCTAAACCCTAAACTATAAACCTAAATCCTAAAACTTTATACCCTAAAACTCTAAAGCCCTAAACCCTAAAATTCTAGAACCCTAAACCCGAGATCCTAAATTATAAAAACTAAACCTTAAACCCTAATCTGTAAACCCTAAACCTAAATCCTAAAAACTATTCTATAAACCATAAATCTAAACACTAAAACTTCTTCAAGAATTTTAGAATAAGTTACTAGTGTGAATATGTATCATATTCGTGTTGGGAGAGTCACGTTGCAAGCTATGAGTATCAGGATTTATTATGCAATTTTCTTATTCATTTTTTTCACTATATTGTAGTAATACAATGGTAGTAACTATGAGTCCTTCAATGGAATGCATACAATGATAGAAAAGATAGGTAGATATTATGGCTATTTCACATTAAATTATAGAGTATTTGTTATAGTAGGGTATAATGTACATAAAAAATAAATAATTTAAAATGGTATAAATGAAGGTTATGTTTGAGTCAATTTTTATCTAAAGTGTTTCGAATATCACTCTATTTTTAGAATAATAAATGGACATGTATGTATGTGTTGGATCAAGTTCATCCTATAAAATAAAAAGCTTAAAAGATATAAATGAAGGTTCTGGTTGAATCAATTTTTTTTCTAAAGTGTTTGGAATATCACTCTATTTTTAGAAATAGAAATGGACATGTATGTATGTGTTGAATCAAGTTCAGGATATTTCCATGTCTAACGCTTGCGCCTCCACATATTCTACTAAAACACAGAATGTGTGACAAGTGTTAATGCTCTCTAGATGCTTAGTCTATATTTAGATATGTTATAAGCTTGTTTGGGCTTGAGAATTTCAGCCTTGAAGATCTACAACTTTTATAATGAAAACCTGTATAGATCTATTACGTAAAATCTAGTTTTCTGGACATTGCGCCGGAGCATCATTGCTTCTTTAGCTTATTGCTTGCCCTAACTAACCGTTTTAATTGGTTATGAATATGAGGATATGAAATGAACTTAAAAGTCTGGAATAATATGCACAAAATCTCTGAAAGCTTGAAATGATATCAGAGCTCCAGCATATGCATGCCTTTACTCATTTTGGTCCTGTAAGTTGTGAATTGTAGGACAAATTTTTTTGGCTTGCCATTGCCCACATAAAAATCCTTGTATTAAATCTCCCTCGCTCTTAACAAATCATCAAGGTTAGGAAATGATCTACACAACCTCTTATGAATAAATTAAAGCAGATAAGCTCTACTGCATCGCTTTAATTTCAAGAACTGTTGATCCAACACATGGGTTTAACCCTTTATCCAGACTAACTCTTGCGAATTGAGTTATCTCACTTTTTTCTTACACTTTCAGGTAAAAAACCCATGGCCCAATGTTGATGCCCACAGTGGCGTCCTGCTTAATCATTTCGGCTTAACTGAAGCGAGGTAAGTCTTTCTTCCTTTTTGTGATATTTGAGTTTCCGATAGCTATTGTAAGGGGTATTTTGTATTATCATTTCTCGAACACGTAAAATTGCCCGCAGCTTATGTTTAGCTTAAAATTCTTCGAACACCAAATATTTGGTTATATAATGGAAGTTGTGCGTCATAGCTTATGCCCTGTTATAGGTTTGTTTTTTTTACTTGGCACATGCTTTCTTATCAAGTTGGTGAAAATGACACCATCTTGATATGGAAACTTGCCAATGATGTGTTATAAATAGTAATTTATAAAGAGACATTTACATACATACCACTAAATTCCTATGTATTTACATTTATAACACCCAAAGATTTCACATCACAACAAAAATACCACTATTTTAACTTTTAAGAAGTGAAATTCACCTTTTTCATGCATAGGAAACATTATTTTTATATGTAAAAAATTGAAGTTTAGGTGTTAGATATGTAAATACATATGAATTGAGTGGTATGTATGCAAATCTTCTGTTTATAAATTCTGCTCCACAACCACTACAAAAGGATCTTAACTAGGATGTTTCCCCTGTCTCAAAACTGCCTATTATTTCCATTAATATAATACAAATACCAACCAAACTTAACTAGAAGTATTAATGTCAAGTAAGAATAGAAGATACTGACATTTATATGGGATTTGTTCAGGTATTTTACTGTTCTTTTTGGGGTATCAAGAAGCATTGGAATATGCTCCCAGGTTCTAGTCTTCAATTCCTTCTCATTTTTTTATATTTATTTTTATAATTTTCCTTTTAACTTGCTGATGTGCCCTGATATCATTTAATTGAATTTTACTGGTACAGCTGATCTGGGACCGAGCTCTTGGTTTACCTCTTGAAAGGCCGAAGAGTGTAACAATGGCGTGGCTTGAGAATCACTGTAAGAAGTCTGCAGTCTGATCTCTTAACTTATCTGATCATTAGCAATAAGTGATGCACAAGGCATTATATTGATGGTTCATTTAATTTGGATTAATTTATTTTTCTAAGTCAGGAATAAGCCATCATTTTTTATCCAGGAGATGGGGGATTTTGTTATCTGTAATCTGTAGGAATTTTATACGTAGTTTCTCTGTGATATCTGATTCTGTGACTTGTATCTACTCACTTTTGAGGATGGTTTTGGAAAGGTTTTAATGGGATGATTTTTGGGTTTGAATGATTTTATGTTGTTAATTAATTAAATGGAAATTTACATGCATACCACCCAATTTTTTTGAATTTACAGATCTCAACAGTTTGGAGTGATAAACCACGCATAAAATTGTCCATCTGACTTTTTAAAAATTAGTGTAATATTTTTGATGTGATGCTAAAGAGTATTATGAATATGAATATGCAATTATAGGAATTAGAAATGTAAATACAGAATAATTTTTTTGGTATATATGTAAATGCCCCCAAGCCACATATAGTCTATAATCTCTCGAAAAATCCCCAGTAAAAGCTTAGGAAAGAAATTATTGAAGAGGAAGGCATGCTTGGCAAATGTAATACAGCTACGCGATTCCTTTTGTTTTTGTAACGCATAACATATTTTTTCAATAATTGTAATTTTATAGTTAATGTTTTCTATATAATGAACATTTTCCACGTGCCTGAAAATAATTCACTTATGAGATCATAATTATTTTCCTAGTTTACATTTACATTTTACTGAAATATGTTCGGTGAATCATTCTGACTCGAATGTAATTAAGGTGAGCTTAACAAAATAACATGTGATATTTGTATTATATTTAAATAACATAGATTTATTTGATTTTAATTTGCATATAAATTCCAATATAAAATAGGGGTATAAGTGAGCCGGCTCAAACTTGACTCATTAATTAATTAACAAGCTCGTCACTTGAGTTTATCGAGTCACATTTTTGAGCTCGAGCTCAAATTCAAACTCGTAGGTTATAGGAGCTCTAGCTCTTAAGGCTGAGTTCGGCCTGATTTGACAGCTTTTATCTAATTCTACTTGTATGTGAATTGTGGAAATTTAAGAAATAATTGTACAGATCAAATTGAGTTACACAGTCGAACCGAGCTCGAGAGTTCGAATCGAACTCTTGCTCGGCTTCTTTCACTCGCTCTAGCTCAAGTTATAGATAATTGATCAAGCTTTGCTTGATTAGGACAAAATTTGACTCCACCTGCCTCGTTTACAGTTCTAAGACAAAGTAAGAAAAATTGAGACATTTATATCAATTATCTATGAAATAAATATTATTTGCTCTGCATCTGTGACTATAAGTTGTTAGGGGGAAGAAAACAATTTGAGTTATAATACATTGTCAATATTTTGATCCATAATCTCTTGTGATTGCATTTATTTTAAGAAGAACATCATATATAACTAATCAACTAAAACTAATGTTTACCTTATGTTATATCTAACACCTTAACTTCATTTTTTTCATATATAGCATCTTAGCTGTGCATAGTATTCAATTTTTTAAGTTAAAATATTGTATTTTTGATATGATATAAAATATTTGGATGGTATAAATTAAAGTTCGTGTTAGATTATGAATATATAGGAATCACATGGTATGATCCAAGAAGGCCATCATAGGAGCAGGCGAACGGCTTGCCATCCTAGGAGCAGGCAAAATGACGATCCAACAAGTGTAACGGTAATTTTGATTGTTACTGTGACTGACCGACAATAAAGAATTTCAAGAGCATTATTGATATTTCTCAATATAAAATCTATTTATTATATATAAATATGTGAATAATGACATGTAAATGAGACTTTTATCAGGAAGCTCGGAAAGATTATGAATGTTATACCATTGTGACTCTTTTCCTTCTCTAATTCTCTCTTTCACTCTCCTCCCTACACTACTCTGCGCGTGATATAAACAACATCATTATAAGAATAATAGTACTTGATAATATTGTAAGCATATTTGTATTCGTTTTCAAAATGAATAACAAAACCTATAGGATGCCATATAAACATTTGTAACCTAACTCTCGAGCAAAATAGGAAATAAAGAAGTTCTTCCCTCCTTTCTCCTTCTCGTTGGAGTTCATTTCTACACAAATGATACTTCTCTTGTTTTGTGCTTAGTTTGTGGCCTAGTAGGATTACAACAAATAGTGCTTTCATTGATGTTCTTCTCACAATGGTGAAGAACTCAAATTCGACAGAAATGGTATAATCACTGTAGTTGTAAAACGAGACATAATTTGAAACTCTACAAAAATCCATCAACACTTCAAATACCCAACTTAAAACAATCAATTAGGCTTTAGAACAATTCCTACATTGTTTGACAATTTTGGATAAATGATTGGAGGATATATCTTATACTAAAGTTCTATCGAATGCACATCAATAAAATGTGGGAGACGGACGTGGCATGGGCCCCAACTTTTCCCAATTAACTACGCATACAAGAACAACAACAGAGATCATGTCTTTTCTTAAAACTATGACAATTGAGTTACCAAGATTTAATGAGACTAATATTAATACCCGAGTCTTTAAACCTGAGGTGTATTTTGAATTCAAAGCGCTCCTAATTGTCATCGTATAAGAATTACATCTTTTCATCTGGATCTCCTGGCAACAGTCTTGTATCAGTGCCTATGTTTAAAAAGATCAGAATATATCTTGGAAAACTTTCTTAAATTATTTACATCATTGCTTTGATAATTCATAATATGAAAACCCTCATGGTAACCTACCAAAGTTAATCCAGAAAGGTTTTATATTAGAATATCATAATGAATTCAAGGAACTAGCTTTCAAAAGTTTATGTTTATCTAAAACTTCATAGGTGAGTTTTTTTATATTGGATCTCAAAAATGAATTGCACCATGCATAAATTACTATTGGCTAAACTATCATCATGCTAGACAAAATAGAGATGGCTCGAACATAAGAATCATGATTTCAAAAACAAAGGGGTAATCATTTAAATTCATGAAACCACCAAACTTCTCCTTGGGGATTGCCTGCCATGAACACATCCGCAAATATTCAAACAATCTTCTAGAATAACTCTACTACACATACTGAAACTTGATATTTTATTCTAGATAATAAATATCCAAACTTATCAACAAGTAGATTATCTCAAACAGAAATACAAAACAAAAGAGAATGATGTTTCGATTGTGATAGAAAATCGAGTAAACAATATTGATGCCCCCAACAAATTCTTTCTATTATTAATTAGACAGATATGATATTCATGATCAAAAGGAAAATCAACTATCTAAGGACCTTTTTCAATAAATGATTTAAAAATTAATTTGAATTCCTTAGATGGCCAATTAAGTCTAAGATCACTATGACTAATTCGTTTCATTAACCTACAATGAGTACTTGTCTTAATAGACTGTGGTAGCATTCATAATTTTATTTAAGAAAGTTTGGTGCAATGATTAGGACTTTCCTATTATCTTATTAATAGGTTTCAAGTATTCATCGGCAATGGTGATCAATTACATGGTATAATGAATGCTCAAATATACATTTATCCTTGCAAGGTCATCCAATCATTTAAGATTTATTTGTTCTAGATATTCAAGGTGCTGATTTATAAGTGCTGAAAATATAGTGGTTATAATCTTTAGGACAAATCCTATATGATTATCACAAATTTACTATATAGTTTATTGGAAATAGCAATCTTATTTAACTAAAAGAAGAGCCTCAGCTACTTTCATAATCAATTTTTTTCACTATTTGTAGGTATTTCTATATCATGGCTCAACACAATCTTTATATGCATTACAAACTCAAAAGATAGAGTAAAAACTCACACAACCATCAAATTTATCATAGACTTTCAAGAAATTACTGTTAATAACTCCAACGCCCATTTTAATAATGCTATAATAAATTCAAAATATTTTTGACGAACCAAAACGATTGCCTCCTCATCGAGACATTGGTTATCATATTAATTTGGAACCAGGTTCCAAACTAGTGAATGTAAGATCATACATGTATCCATATTTTAAAATAGATGTCAAGAAAAAAAATTGATTAAAAAAATATTTGAATGAGGTAAAGAAAAAAATGAGCGTTGGAGATTTTGTGTGGACTACAGAGCACGGAATGCTATCACAATAAATAACTTTAATACCAATAATTGATGAACTATTAGATGAATTACACGGTGTTTTATGATTTTCAAATTTTGATTTACATTTAGGATATCATCAAATCAGAATGTCAACCAAAGACATCGATAAGATATCATTCAGAACTCATGACGACCATTTCAAGTTCTTAGTAATGCTATTTAGGCTTACAAACGCCTCGTCAACCATTCAAGCTCCAATGAATTGACCATATTTTAGCATACAATACTAATTTATCCATCCACCCATATTATTTTAATTTAGTTTTAGAATATTTGCAAACACGTCAATTGTTTTTGCCAGTTCAACCAACACATAGTGGAAAATCTATGACATAATCCAACACAATGGTATCATATTTGATTAAATAAAACAGAGTCTATGCGGTAGTGGCCTAGTTTACAAAATATTAAGCAATGACATAAATTTTTAGGTCGCACCAAATAATATTAAAAAATTATTATAAATTATGCTTCCCTAATAACACCTTTAAGAAACCTGTTAAAATCAGAAGCATCCTTATGGCATGCACCTACGCAAAATTGCCTTTAAAATTTTAAAAATTATGATGACAATAACATTGATATTAACATTACTAGACTTATAAGAAAGATTTATCATAGATGCATCAATTAATGCATGGGTGTAGTTTGAATGCAAAGATAATATCCAATTTCATTTTTCAATAAAAATTAGGAATGATGATGCAGACCTATTTTCCATTGTGGAAGATATTTATAAGTGGAAGCAATATCTCTTGGGTGTTAATTTTACCATTAAAATTGATCATAAAGGTCGCTTATGGGAACTAACAACATAGATCTTAAACACTCCATATTAATAATTTTTAACTTTAAAAGTTCTTGGGTTCAATTTTCACATTAAATATAAAGCAAAGAAATTGAGTGCTGTTGTTGATGCATTGTCCCGACTTCCAAAGGACAAGAAAATTGAACAACCATCAGTTCTATAGCTAAACTGCTATTTGGCCTTTGTAACATGTTACATACAGTTAATTCAGAAGCTACATACAGACATATTGGATGCATAACATATAATCAAATT